TTCTAATGGGCTATCAAGCTTGTCTCGGTCGTTACTAGTTAATCTTCGCGCTTGCTTTTTAGACATTGTCCTCGTTTTGCAGGAGTTTTAGTCATATCTCCGTCGTTTATGGGTAGTTTCCCCTATAATTACTCTCATTGGTTCCGTTTGGGTGACATCTACATTTCCTATTATAAACACGACTTTGACTTTTGCATTAGTTCCTGAGGAATCTTTGTTCCGTGGTACTTCCATCCTTGCTATGTGTGCGGACGTGGGAAAGTAGTTTCCGTGGAGGTTCTCTGATTATTTTTATAGTCAAATCTTGGTCGATTGTCCTAATTCTTGGTTTAATATTTGCTATAAATTCCCCCGAGAATTCCGTCTCGTTGATGGTAAGCTTGAAGTATTTTTGTTATTTTTCTTTCTTTCGATTTATCGTGTATAGTCGTAATAATTCGTAAAAATTCGTAAAATTCGTTAAAATTCAGGTCCTTCTATGTTCTCATATCTACTTGTCGTATGAGGTTTTGTGATTTATCTGGCATATTTTCATAATGGGTTTCCATAGTGTGGCCGTTATTTCTCCTACAACGTAAAGGCCAAGTACTTCCGTTCCACTCGACCTTCCAAAAAGCTCTCCGAGAAAAACCTTGGCCCATTCGAGATCATCGCCCGCGTTGGAACCCACTCCCTCACTCTCCGCCTGCCGGAAAACATGCGAGCCATTCACCCGGTATTCCATGTCTCGCAGATCGAACCATCCGTCCCGAACACCATTCCGAACCGCCACCAGCCACCTCCGCCTCCCGTAGAGATCGAAGGCAAAATGGAGTTCGAGATCGAGGAAATACTCGACTCCAAGATCGACCGACGTAGACGCAACAAGCTGCTCTACTTGGTCAAATGGCTAGGCTATGAAGGGACCGACGAGGAGACACAATGGCTCCTTGCCAGCGAACTCGATCACGCCTCTGACCTCGTCGAAGCGTTCCACTCTCGGTATCCAGTGAAGCCTGGACCCGGAGCCCCTTAGGAACCCCGACTCCTCTCCCATTTCTCCTTTCCCCTCCGCTCCTCACTTCCGTTTTCATTTTTATTTCTCATTTGCTTTTCTTCCTGTAAGTGCAGCTCCCCTTGTCTTACTAATTCTGGGCCTTCAAGGGTTCAGGCCTAAGAAGGGGATACTGTCATATCCATCCCCAGCCATCAACTTCCGGTCCCTCCGATCCCTCCGTTCCAACTCTGCTCCTCCCTCACTAACCTCGGAGCCCCCGTATTCCGCAATCCTCTCGGCGCCCCTCGATGGTCACCACCCCCTCATTTCAATTTATTACCTATGCCTCCCTAAGTACGGAGCCCCGAAGACTTCCGGACAGCTCCGACGTCCGCTAGCGCACCCCCACCTCCACTGGGCAATACACTCGCCTGCCCTGCAGAGCCCACCTTCGGGCCTATCCCTCCTTTCCGTTTCTGGGTTACCGCCTGCCTTTCCGCTAACCCCGTGAACCGACTCGTCGGTAATATTCAGTCGGCTAATGTTTAAACCCCGTTAGCTCCGCTCCGTTCGGCTCCGCCAATTGCGGAACCGTCTCCGCTGTAACCATATATATATCCCACTTGTACATAGGTTACGCCCCAGTAGAAAAATCAACTAGAGTTACCCCCCCTAGGTTCTAATTGCCAGTCAGTAAGTTAGGGCATGGACGTGTCACTAGGCACAGCGCTCTTGGCAGAAGTCGCTGAGGCCGAAGCCCTCCGTTACGGAGACATCCCCTCGTCTCGAATCTGGTCTCTGACAGCACTTCTACTTGAGAGCCTCCATAGTAGGTGGCAGTGCAGTGCAACCCTGTCAGGGACGCGTCCGGGGTCGAGAGGGCCCGGGGGTAATATCCGGCACTGAGGCCGTCGCGGGGTGTGGAGCGGGCGTGCGTACTGGCGGGCCCGATCCGGGACAGCGATCCCTGGCCACTCAGACTGAAGTGGAGAATGTGTTATTATTATTAAAGGGGAAAACTATACTACTTACCTGAAGTGGAGAATGTGAGAAGAAGGTTACTTCTTCGGTTCCCACTTCAGGTACATTTATGTACATGTGGCTTGAGTCACATGACAGGTGCCACGTCATCCTCGGAGGCAGCCGCAGGCATCCGGGTGTCCCCGTGGGGGATCCCGAGAGCGTCCGCTACATGCGTGCGTGCTGGGCACAGCGGGAAGCCGTCCGGGGTGTGTGGGCCGGACGGGTCAATAGTACATCGATACAAAGGAAGGTGGTCCGTGTAGATAGAAAGAAATGAACAGGAAGAGGAAGATGAGAAGAATGAAATAAAGAAAGGGGAAAGAAGAGGGAAAAGAAAGGGGAGGAGAGGGAGGAAGGAGGGGGGAGGGGGATAGACAGCGGGGAGCAGGTGTGGTGTGGCCGGGTGGGCCCGGGTCAGGCGGGTGTGCCCTGACAAACCCTACCCAACCCTAGCAATCCTAGCATCCAAAGTGCTGACAGTGTCGGCACTTCTGCTTGAGAGGCTGCATATTGAGTGGCAGTGCAGTGGCAGTGAGGTCAGACCTAGCATCCAAAGTGCCGACAGTGTCAGCACTTCTTGTTGAGAGCCTCTGTAGTAGGTGGCAGTACAGTGGCAGTACAGCCAGAGCCAGCATCCAGAGTGCCAACAGTGTCGGCACTTCTGCTTGAGGTTCTTCATAGTAGGTGGCAGTGCAACCCTACCCAACCCTAGCAATCCTAGTGTTCAGAGTGCTGACACTGTCAGCACTTCTCCTTGAGAGGCTGCATATTGAGTGGCAGTGCAGTGGCAGGCAGTCAGAGCCAGCATCCTGTCAGGGCACACCCGCCTGACCCGCCTCCACCCGGGCCCACCTCACCCGGTTCCCCTTCTCCCACCCTGCACCCCTCCTTCATACCCCTTCCCCCTCTATCCCTCTCCCACTTCCCCTTCTATTTCCATTTCTATTTCTATTTCTATTTCTACTTCACACGGACGACCTTTCCCTTATATCCATGTATTATTGACCCGCCCGCGACGCACACACAACGTGCCTAGCCCCGGACGACCCCGGACGGCTCTAGGGTGCAACCTAGTGCACGCGCGTGCAGCATACACCCTCGGGATCCCCCACGGGGACACCCGGGTGACTGCGGCTGTATGCGGGGTGACGTGGCGGACCTCATGTGACCCAAGCCGCATGTATATAAACACACCTGGGGTGGGAACCGAAGAAGTAACCTTCTTCTCAACATTCCCACTTCAGGTAAGTAGCATAGTTCTCCTTTTAATAATAACTCAACATTCCCACTTCAGTCTAAGTGGCCAGGGATCGCTGTCCCGCATCGGGGCTGCCAGTACGCACGCCCGATCCATCCCCCGTGAGGTCCTCAGTACCGGACGCTACGCCCGGATCGCCTCGACTGTGGACGCGACCCTGACACATCCAGAGTGCCGACAGTGTCAGCCCTTCTGCTTGAGAGGCTGCATAGTGAGTGGCAGTGCAGCAGCAGTGCAGCCCTTCTCCTTCTCCTTCTCCTTCTCCCTCTTCCTCCTCTTCTTCTTCTTCTTCTCTCTTCTCTCTACTCCTCCGGTTCCACCGCCCTCTTCTCTTTCACTTCCCCTTCTCCAGTTCCCACCTTGTCTACTTGTCTGCTTGTCCGCTTGTCTGCTTGTCCGGTTATCGGGTCCCCTCCCAAGTTCCACAGTTCCACCGTCCCAAGTCTAGTCTACTTCTCCCCTTCTCCCCTTGTCAACTTGTCCGGTTATCCCATCCCCTCCCAAGTTCCACAGTTCCACAGTCCCCAAGTCTACTTCTCCCCTTGTCGGGTCCCCAACAAACTTCCACAGTTTTCACCTTCCCTACTTCCACTTCCCCCTTCTCCAGCCCCCACCTTCTCTACCTGTCCCCTTGTCCCCTTGTCAGGTTATCCCATCCCCAAGTCTAGTTTTGCAGTTCCCAAGTCCAAACCCTTTTTTGCTTCCTTGCCTACTTGTCTACTCCTCCTCTTCCACACTTGTCGGGTCCCCCACCAAGTTCCACAGTTCTAAACCTTTTTTTCTTTTTGCTTCTTCCCATGTTTGCCTTGTCATCTTGTCCCATTCTTGCATTCTTGCCAGACTTCAAACTCAAGTCCCCACTTTTTTTACTTCCACAGGTCCGCATTTTTGCCACCAGCCTTGTCTTCTTGTCTTCTTGTCTTGTCCCATTCTCACCTTGTCCCCTTGTCCTCTTCTTCCCTTGTCTAGTTGTCATGTTGTCCCATTCTTGTCTTGTTGTCTTCTCAAGTCCTTCTCAACTTCAGTTCTAACCTCTTCTCCCAACTTTCTCACCTTCCACTTTCTTCCTATCAACATTTTTTCCTCTGTGGCTGTGCAAAAAACTGCACAGCCACTTCTCATTTTTTGCTTTTATAATTTTCACTAAAATCACACCTTCCTAACTCTATCAACCATTTTCATTTTCATCCATCCAGTCAAAACTTATTCTACTTTTAATTCAACTTGCACCCTCACTGCACCTGAGTGCACCCTCAAAAAAACTTTTTCCAAAAAAATCTTAAAAAAATATTATTCCATTCTCTCTCCTAATTATATCACACTGAAAAAGATCCCATATTTATATCTATTTCTTTCACCGGGATATTTCACTTTTAATTTCAGTTGCACCCTCAGTTGCACCCTCTGCACCTGAGTGCACCTCAAAAAAAAACCTCTCCAAAAAATTCCAAATAAAATAGTTTCCCACTCTATTTCCTCACCATATTCCACTCCAAAACACCCCGCATTTTTCCCTATTTTCTTCGTCCACTTATCAAATTATTTATTATTTTTTTCCTCTAAACTATTTTATTTTTCCCATATCTCCTTACCTAGTCCAGCTATTCACATGCTCTTTTTTTCATCTTGTAGATCTCGCCTACAACTACCTGGAATGCCTATTGCCGCCAATAATTCTCGAAACTGACTGAGAAAACATCGAGGCTTCACGCAGGGTGCAGAAATGTCAACGCTTATAACTTTTCAACGGCTGAACTGAATTTCAAATGATTAGTACCGTTAGAAAGGTGTGATTTTTCTCTTTTTTTAAAGCTCGGAAAATCCCAAGGGTACAGTGGCAAATGCCTTTTGCCGGGTTCTTCTATAGATTAGGTCACTGGGGAGCAGCCTCACTTACACCCTTTTTGGCTGTTGCACAGGTACGTCTTGGTTCCTTGATTGGATCCTGGGGCTGTTGCTTCTTTGCAGCAGGCGTTACTGTGGATTCAATAGATGTCCGGGGGCGTTTTATGCCTTGCTCAGGCTCACCCCTATCACTAAGCTCCGATCCGGTTGGATCATCCTCTGGTGTGGGGTCTTCAACATCCCTTTGGCCAGGATCAGGCACAGCCTTCCCCTTACCTTTTTCCACCCTAGTGGGCTGTATTGAAGTGTCTAAGTATCACATAAACTGTGGCATATTATTGACCTACTTTTTTGGATGGCATAGGCTCCTCGTTGTCAGTTGACTTGGCATCACTGCTTTCACTGCTGCTGTCTGAAGACTTGGATGGAGTGTCATCTCAGTCAGGGTCCCCTTGTTCAGGATCATAATCCTTCTCCTCCTGTTGATCCTCTAATTTATCCGGGGCCTTCTGATGTGTTTGTTTAGTGGTGAGTCTGATGGATATGTTGGCATGTTTGTAGTTATCACTTGCCTCAGAAATGGTGATATCTGGAGAGTCATTACTAGTCTAGTGACAATAATTTTACCCCAGCCATAACAGAACTACTCTTGAATGTGAATTTTGAAGGTGGCATTCCTCCCAACAGGCAAATATCCTCCTCAAATAATTGGAGTTCTCCAGCAGAGCCTTCAGCATCTTGTGCTGCTTTTGCCTTTGCCACAGAGGCTATGACTGAGAATCGGTGAACGTGCTAAGTGAACAAACCAATTATCATTCAGAAAATTCAATATACATTCCTTACCTGCTCAAATGCATTCCATGCTGTTATGATACTGGAATCAATTAGGCCATCTACTTTCCCTTCCTTGTGAATAAATGTTACTCCTTCGAAGGCTTTCCTTAGCCCATCAAGTTGTTGGCAGTGTTGAACACGTGTGGCATGATAAGCCTGTGCTGCAGATCCTCCCTCAGGATCCTCATCACTTGAATCCAATTTTCCCTCAAGGGCACGGACAAAGGCTTCAGGTTGATTGAAGTATGTCAATGACTTTCGAACATGGGTTGGGATGACGAGTTGGAAATCGGGTGGGCTTGGTGCATAAATTGACAATGCATCTCTGACCTTCAAGTGCAATGCAGAAGTGATGGTGTCACTCTTCAAGAGGGGGCAACGGCAGAGTTTGTTATGTAGCCCATAGCTCACCTATGATAGGTGCCATTTTGCAGAGTTACGGTGCAGGTGATTTGGTCCTGCATCAACCTGGGTAGGAGAAATCTGTGGGTATAATGCCATCGCACGATCAACAGCATCCTTGCCCTTGCGGAATTTGATGAGATCGACATGAGTGAAGTTGTTGTCATACCAGCGCAGGAAAGTGGTGAAGGATGTGCGGTATTCAAGGCACTCATCAGACCATGAGATATTGAATGGTGCATCACCCAAAAAGCCATTCTTATCATTCCCAGGCTCTGGAGGGTCCAGAGAGGGGTCATCATCAGGGACCTTTTCCTTGGCCTCCCTGACACGTGCCTTGGTCTTGGCATGTACATCATATGTTGATCCACGCTCAAAGAACCCACCAGGTAGTGGCGAAGAAGAATTGGTGCGTGAGGGGATGGGCTTGAATCCACAATGATCCCATTCAATTTTCCAGTGCTTAAAGCATGGCAATAATTCACTAAACATGACATGTGTGAACTGTTCATCAGGTGAGCTTGGCATCCATCCAACAAGTATATCCTGGCTACATACCTCCACTTCAGTCCCTGGCTCCACAGCAAGCAAAGGATCTTGAAGAATTGCATCAAACAGTGCATAGGATGCATCAAAGTAGTTAAGTTGGGTGATGTCCATCATGTAGGCATTGACAGGGTCAATCCAAGCATGGATCTATGGCCAACAGATCAGTTGATAATTCCCATGTCATAATAATTTGTTGATAGTCCACCCAGATGTTCGCGAACATTTTGGTGGATGACAGACATATGGCCAGCTCCACCATAATGTTCACGAACATTTCAGTGGATGACAGATGTATGGCCAGCTCCGCCAGGATGTTCGCAAACATTTTGGTGGATGACTGAAATATGCCCATACCTGCCATCATGTTTACACACATTATGGTGGATAGGGCTTGACAAACGAAATATGATTGTGACATACCTCCTTGAAAAACTGTTCATATTCTGTTGAAATGTCATCAAACTTTGATAGGAGACCATTTGTGATCAGAATCATATGCCACCTGTGAATGACGCCAGAGAAGAGGACGTTGAAGTGATGGCGACATTTTTGGAGCACTGACTCAGGGAGGATGTTTCGGTTTTGCTCAAGGACCTTTTCAACTGCACTCCATAGTGCTGTTCGATAGTCAATATATCGTGATGAGTGATCCCGATGTGAGAACTGGAAAACGTCATCTCCATAAGTCCGCTGTGTCTTCTTCGGCCCTTTCTTGACAATCATCGCCACCCCAGCCACCACCTTGGCATCCTCCACACCTTTCCAGAACTCCAGTATGCATCAAGTGGGGGCATCCTCTCAACTTTATCAATGAACATCTTGACAAAATGCAGTGCCAGTTCATCAAGCTCTTCGGTTTTCGCCTTGCATGATTTGTGTGTCAACTTCCCATCCAGTTCCTTCAGGAGTGCCTCGAATCGCTCATAATCGAAGTTATCATCCACATCAGACTCCGTCATGAGAAGCCCCAGACATTCATTTTGTGCTTGGACATATGTCCACAGATACTGTTGAAATGATGAAATCAATGATGTCATACATAATTATTTCACATAGCAAGCAACATACCGCACATGTATGACCAAGAAGTTTTGTCGAGATGTGGTTTATTGTGAAGCCCTTCCAGTGACAGTAGTACTTGCTGACAGGGACAAGTTCCATCAGTCCCTGATTGGACCTTTCATCAGCTGCAATCTGCTGGAGCTTCCTGTGTGTGCCAAGCTTTGGCCACATCACCTTGCAGATATCAAGGTCAATCCCGTCAGGCCCCTCCTTGGCCACAGCAGCTGACCGCCACAGAGTTGGCCTCCACCCTGTCCTCACCTGGACATTGATAAGGTGCTGATAAATCCAACAACCCAGCCAAATATAGGCTGGGAATCAGCTATTGCATCAGTGGTAGCTGCCCAGACAGGTCAACTTCATCAGGAGTTGAAAGAGATAAAGTCCCTCGTAGGAGGGAGATGTGTTGGAGGAAGGGATCAAGTGATCTCCCAAACCATCAGGGAAGGGGTACCCCCCCCCCCTGGCATAACAGGCAAGTAGTGTATGGATGCATGCTAGAAGTCCTGGGTTTGATACCAGGCTTGTCCATTTTATGTCATTTGTCCAGTCACGCTGGTTTATGTCATAAGAATTTGGAGCTCCGGATAAGTCCAGTAGTCGCACCGGATACAAATTTCCTCACCAAATATAGGCTGGGAATCAGCTATTGCATCAGTGGTAGCTGCCCAGACAGGTCAACTCCATCAGGAGTTGAAAGAGATGAAGGAGGGAGATGAGGGAGCAGCAGCAGCTCCTCATCCAGGCCATCCAAATGGGCATGGTCTGACAACTCGAGGGTGTCAGATGATGCCTGTGATAATTGCACCCATTGGAGGTGCAAATACAATAGAGCATGCAGAGATGCCAAAGGCATCTTTGCCTCTCTGAGAGATACAGAGAGAGAAGTCGATCTCCAGAAGAGGGAGATTGAATTATTAAAATGCGAGCTCAAAGAGACATGCATGCTGGCAGATCTCACTGCCAAACCCATTATGATGGGGGCCTCCCAGGTCAGGGGGAGGGGATACAGTGCTGGGGCATTGACTATCCTGCCACCCTGTGGGCAGGTGACCCTGTCCGGGTTGCATAAGGGCCTGCTCTCAGAAGGGAAAACCCATGTTGAGGGGAAGAGGGAGAGCGGTGGGCAACCAATGGCAGACCCCAAAGCAGGGACCACTGCCAGAGGTGGTGGGCCACTGAGTACCTCAGCACCCTATGGGCAAGCTACCCTGCAGGGAAGTGTCCACATGTTATATGAGACTGTCATATCCATCCCTGGCCAATGACTCCTGGTCCCTCCGATCCCTCTGGTCTACCTCCGCTCCTTCTTCACTAACCTCGGAGCTCCCATATTCCGCAATCCCCTTGGTACCCCTCGATGGTCACCACCCCCTCCTTTCATTACCTATGCCTCCCTAAGTACGGAGCCCCGAAGACTTCCGGACAGCTCCAACGTCCACTAGTGCACTCCCGCCTCTGCTGGGCAATACACTCGCCTGCCCTGCAGAGCCCACCTTTGGGCCTATCCCTCCTTTCCATTTCTGGGTTATTGCCTGCCTTTCTGTTAACCCCGTAACCTGACTCGTCAGTAATATTCAGTTGGCTAATGTTTAACCCCATTAGTTCCACTCCGCTCAGCTCCACCATTTGTGGACCCGTCTTCGCTGTAACTATATATATATCCAACTTGTACATAGGTTACACTTCAGTAATAAAATCAACTAGAGTTTACCCCCCTTCAGTTCTGGTTGCCAGTTAGTAAGTTAGGGCACGGACATGTTACTTGGCACAGCGCTCCTGGCATACAGTGGGCAACAAAACTGTTCACATGTTTTGCTGTTTTGAAAAGTGTCATATCCGTGCATACCCGACCCCGACCCGACTTCCGGACCTCCACCTTCCTCACCTCCGGAGTCATAACCTACCGCTGCCGTTCCGATACTTACCTTCGGTCCTGGCAACACACCTCCTCCTTACCTCTCGCCACCCTCCTACTACTCCGCTCCCTCTTCACAACACCTCCACCCTCCCGTTATCCTCCTACGCTTCCCCCATCCGCTCCGATACTCACCTTCGGACCTGACTACTCTCCTTTCCGCCACTCCTTCTCCCCTTACCTGTCCCCTCTCTCCTCCCTCCGTTACTCCTCCGCCACCCTTCCGCCAAGTTACAACCGTCCACTGCTGTTCCGTACTTCGCACTCGGACACCGCTCGTACCTTACTCCGAGCCTCCGTCATAGTCCCTACCTCGGACTTTGACTCCACCTCGGCCTTAGTCCATTGCATTGGTGACCTCATACTACGTAAACACCATTGCCAATATTCCTCGGACTTCCAACCCCGCCTCCGTAACCTCCGTAAACTCCGCAACCCCCGAGCTTCGCGGACCGCCTTCGGCACTCTTGCCGCCTGTAATGTATTCCTCGCGTTCTCCCTTCATCCCTATTTGGACTACTGCTTCTTTCTATTCTAGCCAGTTAGTCATCATCCCCACTTCCCCTCATCCTCCTGCCCCTCTGGGCCTTGCCCTCCCTACCTCCTTTCGGATGTATCACAGGTCATGCCTCATGACCTTCGGTACCTATCCGCTCCTTCTACCCTTTGTTCCCGTTCAGACGTCTTCGTTCCGATTCGGTCACCCTTTGTTCTCTTTGTGCTTTTGCCCCTTCCATTATATATATCGGCACTTGTACATACTCGTCTTGTTTTCAGTCCGAAATCGACCTGAAATGCCCCCTAGAGACTTCCTGCTCACCTACTGTGAAATTAAGGACCAAATGGACAAACAGCAATGGCACAGCGCTCCGCTTGAGTCGCTGAGGCCAAGGTCCCTCCACGCTAAGTCTCCGATTCCACTCCGGAGTCGTCCGTTTCCGCCCGGTTCTAACAAAAAGACACACTCATACAGGCTTAGGAAAAATTCTGAAATTCCTGAGAAATTCATAGAAGATGCTCTGACATCACAAAATGTTGCTTCCATCAGCCCAAGGTCATACACCCATTTATGGCAATGCAATTGTCAGATGAAGTCACCCATTGCATGTGAACAGTTTTGTTGCAGGCAATAATTCTACTATATTAATACTTGGTATACCCCCCCTTTGCCTTAATTACAGCTTGTACTCTTCTAGGCATACTTTCTATCAAGTTCTGACACACCTCCTTTGGTATCTTCTCCCATTCCACCTGGCAACGATCCCAGAGCTCCCCCACACCACTTGCAGGAGTTTCATAGTCAGCCAACCTCCTTTTCACATGCCACCAGAGATGCTCTATGGGGTTAAGGTCTGGGGACTGTGCTGGCCACTTCATAACAGTGTAGTTATGACCTTGGAACCACTTTTGAGCAAGTTTGCTGCAGTGCTTTGGGTCATTATCCTGTTGGAAGATAATGTCCTCAGGGGGTTTGTTGTAGAATTTGAGGGATTGCTGGAGTTCATCTTCCAAAATGGAGCAGTAAAGCTGTGCATCCATCTTCCCTTCGATCCTAGTGGCATACCCAACACCCTCCCACAGCATGCAACCCCACATCATCACATTTCCACCACCAAACTTCAATGTTCCCTCAACCTGCCTATCAGTAAGACCCTCTCCTGCCTCCTTCCACACCCACTTCCTGCCATCTGACCCAAGGCGATTGATTTTAGTCTCATCAGACCACACCACCCTCTTCCAGTCATCCACAGTGTACTCCTGGTGCCTCTCAGCCCACAGCATCCTTGCCTTCCGATGGGCTGGTTTCAGAAATGGGCGCTTCTTCTTCACCACAGGCCTTAGACCAGCCTTCCGAAGATGACGACGAACAGTTTGGGGAGAGACAGAGAGGCTTGTGACATCCTGAAGAGATTGGGTCACTTGGACTGCATTATCAGCTTTCTGCATGCGAATGAGACGCTTTGCATAGGTGATGTTGGCAGGTGTAAGCTTCGTTGGATGACCACCAGTGGACTTGGCAGCATCAGGGCAATATGCAGAGCGGATTTTTGAGATAGCTCCAATGCTAGCACCAGTAATCTTATGAATGGAGTGCCCAGAGGTGCCAGAGAGTAGCAGTGTAATGATGTGTTCACGAGTAGCAGGGGCAAGAGGGTGCATGGTGGAGTGTGAGGGAAAGAATCAAAAAAGGGCCAGTATTTATGCTGCAGAACAAATCAATCATGTGACTTTGTTGATACCTGTGTGTAATAAACAAAGTCATGTGACCAGAGTCAAGTATAGCCCTGCTTCTGCATTAAGAAAGCCAAGGCAACAAAACTGTTCACATGCAATGGCTGACTTCATCTTACAATTACATTGCCATAAATGGGTGTATGACCCTGTGCTGATGTAAGCAACATTTTGAAATGTCAGAGAATCTTCTATGAATTTCTCAGGAATTTCAGAAATTTTCCCAAGCCTGTATGAGTGTGTCTTTTCAAAACAGCAAAACATGTGAACAGTTTTGTTGCCCACTGTAAGTCGCTGAGGCCGAAGCCCTCCGCCATGGAGACTTTCCCTCATCTCAACCTGGTCTCTGACAGAGACCACTGAACTCAACAAGTTTGGCAAAGTCAAAGCTCCCATTGACATAACAATCGACCCCAACTTCCCCATGAGGAGAACAGCAGGGTCAGAAGTGGCACATGACGCCACATATGCTTGGTGGACAAGCATGAGTGGAAAAGCATTTGTACAATGGTATGAACAGGCTGAAGCCACCTTTAAAAGCGGCAAGGTACACAAAATCCTTTGCGAAAAAGTGAAGGAAACCAAGAAATATTTCTTGGAACTCCCGAGTATTGCAAAACTTGTGGAGGATTACAATTCCCCAGAGAACAGGGGACAAATCTCCTGGGAAAGTCTAGGCAAAGCTGCTTATGTGAAGTCCCAGTTCAAACCACTCAGGACTCCTGAGGAATGTGCCACAAAAGCTGCAGGGCAGGAAGTGAAAGCTTCCAAGTACTGAGAGAGAGACGCAAGTCTCTGTGCTGGACAAACAAGCCAGCGACCATCCTTCCCCATGGGAAGAATGGTAAACTTACTGTATTCTACACCTGAGCCAAGTGGCTCAGGAACACAACAACCCACTCCCACCCAGGAAGCACGCTACATCATCGCATCTGATGCAGCAATCGGATGTCCAGATGAACAACCCAGTGGAAAACCCTCCTCCAGGGCAATAACTCTACCCTCGAAAAAAGGGAAAGTGACATGGTAATATGCCACTGAGGTGCCCATGAAAACACCTTCCCCCAACTTGAGGCCCTGCACACAATATTGTATGCAAGGAACCGCAAGTAACAATTGCGGAAACTTCTACTCCATCTAACCCACATCCACCACCACTCATGTGTAAACACCATTTACACATGAATCCTCACAGAACAAGTGAGGAATACCAAAGATGTATAATCTTTGGGTCGAAATCTATTTTCGAAACTTTCTTCTTCTTTTATTACTTTTCCCTTTCACGATACCCATGTATTGCCATTCACTTCAAAGTGACAGCCTCACACTCATTCACTCCTTCAATTTCTCTCGCTGACATGTACAAATCACCCACTTTAAAGTGGTGATAACAAAACACTCATGGATAATTTCAAATTCAATGTAATTTCCTCTTTTCTTTCCTTTTTTCTTCCTCTTTAACCATGTATGCATCACACATGCAACACAAGGGGGGAGAATGTCAGGGCAATAGCCCCGAACCCCGAGCCATTGTAATCATGATGTACATAAAGTCACATGGGTAAGCGGGAACATCTGTTAACCACTTACACACACTGTAAAATACACATCATCGTATCACTTATGGCCTCATGTGCTGAGCAACCCCACTGAGACCTCACAGTTTTCCAGTGGCCCATACCGAGTTGAAGAATTGCAATGTCTTAGCCTTGCAACATTCGCATATGCACTGACAATGGTAAGTTTTGGTTGGTGATACTTCACGGGTTTCTGACTCTATGTGTGCAATTTTAGATTAAATTTGCTTTGAATCAGTATGTGACTGGGACTCTTGCAGATCCCCAGCAAAAGTTCACACACTCAGAGTATTTTGATGAATGGGAACATTTGGACCCCTCCTAGTATCATCACTCCGGAATTCCTGGAACCACTGGTTATCCACCGACCTCACTTGACACCCCTGAATTCCCCATGATTCCACTCTTCCTATTACAACTCTCAAGGCTCATTTCCCCACCTCTTGTGGATCTTCTGGACACTGTTTGTTCATCTCAGCATTCATGATCACTTCCAAGGTCATATGCTTGAGGCTCCGTTGGATACAACCCTTGTTCTCTTTCCACCATATTGCTCCCTTAGAGCCAGTTAGGGACACCTTCCACCTTTGCACCTTATTCTCAAATTCACTCAGGATGCACGGTACAGAGGGGGGGGATGTCATTTGGTAATCAAAAAAAAAGAAAGAGAAGAACAATGTACAACTTTAAATTTAATGGAGGAACGAGATTAAATAGGACTTGTGTGCACCGGCCTCAGCGCCTCAGTCGTTTTCTTGGGTATCCACCGTGCCCTTGGCTACACCTCATCTTCTGTACACATTACTCAATGCCTGATGCCTCTCGGCTGATCATCCGCGATGTTCAGTTTACTTTTTCTTGATTATCTGTTTGCACGTCTGGTTCTTATTTCTGCTGCATGATCGGTACGTCAATTTATCTTTTTCTTCTTGATGCGCGTCCGCGGTACGCTTCGGCCTCCGTGCCTTCTCTTTTGCGTCCGCAGTACGCTTAGGCTTCTCAGCCACTACATTCTTGCATCCGCTGCACGCTATAAAACACACTTTCTTGCGTCCGCGCACGCTAGATTTTTTCTATGACTTCGTCGTTTATTATTTAACTAATTCTCTTTTCAGTTCTGGTTAGGTTGCCGTTGAATGTCCGGTTTTGCATTGGTTAAGGCAGTATAGCCTCGGTTTTCCTTTGCAAGTTGGATCCCGGGTGTTTACGGTGGCTCTTCCTTTCGGCTGATTCCTTTGTTTTATAACTTGACTTCTTCCCTCCCCCATTGTTATTCTCACTCGTCTTCATCGTTACCCTCCACCTGGCCCATTGCCTCCTGTTTGCTTATCTCTGTATTTACCGGCTCGCTTCAAATCAAGGCCACGCTATTCTTGTCGCATTCGCTCACACACAAGAGGGTAGTTAAGATTGAATGGACGAGGGGTTGGTAGTGCTGGAAGCATGAGCTACACTGAGACCCCCAACCCACAATCCCAATTCTCCAACTCATCCTCCAGATCCTTCCCCAAATCCCCCCTATAACTGCCTCGACAATGGCCGAATCACTGGACCCCTTCATCAACCTGCTGGCCAAAGTGCTGCTCAGCAGGGTGTTATGCACTCGGAGCTGCTCGCTGATCTCAGCAAGCCACCCCATGGCATCCCTCATCAAAACCGCAGACACTCACCCTCCTTCTGCAGCGTATCCTCCTCCACCTCTTCCTCCACCCTCACACGCTTCTCGGGACGATAGGTCAATGCGACCTCGGCATGTTAGTACTCAGTCGCAGCGTACCTTGGTGGCATGACATGCCACACACGACGACTTGCCTGATCCTTCCCCACCTGGTCGGCACTCGAGTTTGCGAGTAAGGCACCGCCGGCACGCAGGGGGCCAATCACTTGTCGACGGTGTCAACATTGCAGCAGATTACACTAATCAAAAATAATAATAAAATCAGTCAGCGTTTTTCCGCCAAATGGACGACAGACTGCCATTACTACTCACCTTCCTCACCGCTGCCTCTTCCTTCTTCCTCCTTTTCAACACTTCGGTGGCCCTTTTGGCCTCCTCAGCCTCCTCTCGTTCACGTTCAGCAGCAGCCCTCACACAGAAGGGCAAGGTTGAGGTTCATGTCTGATCACACCGTTTTGCACGTCATGTAAGCACCGCTTGGTGCATGAGTGATGTCCAGAAAGCCGAACCTGAGTACGAGACTAATAAGGATCGAATTGACAGTACACAATCCGGGGTAGGGGTCGTGACAATGTCCACCAAGTGGGATTGTTAGTGCCATTTGATGTTAAAAGACGATGCGCAAAATGTTTGCTGCTATACCCAACCACAAGCAGTGGAACTTACAGGCCCATGCACGAGTAACGCTGTACTAGGGGTTTGGGTATCCGCGCGTGATGTAATACACCGTTTGGGTAGAAGAGCTGATTGGGGGGGGGTGTAGGAATGTTGAGTGTACTACACGGGATTAGAACGAGAGGTTGGCGCTGCAGGGGGTAGGCCAGTAGCCCAAAATGACCGTGAGTGCCAGCGGTGTTGCTGGCCCTCATCAGTCGGATAGCTTCACGGTAACTGTGATTTACTAGCGATGCGCGAAGCACCTCTAGTCACGTTAAAGATGAAGAGAAGAGCCCTCAATGGTATCTAGAAAGTTTTTGTTAGCTGCAACGCCGAGAGCAAACAGGGAGAACACTTACCGGAAATGGAGTTTTCGGGGAGCGCAGAGATGGCCAACAGGGCTGGAAAGGATTGTGTGTTGCAACCCTGAGCTGTGGAATGGAGTACGACGTTTACACTCGATGTTAAAGCTGGGTGGGATAGATAGATTTTGGGCGCTTACCGGGATGTGTGGACATAGAGCCGCGATCAGGGTTGAAGTCGATCATACTGGCGTTAAGGACATTAATCGACGCGCACATCACCTACAACGGTGCTAACGGGTGTGATGTAGCAGGTGCCTCGGTTTGGCCGGACCGCCGTTTGGGGAGGGACATGCATAACCTACGATTGTATTGTTCCAACGGGGTCAATATGTAGTGCTTGAACCTTGGCGAGTCGGAAGACATTTTTTGATTTTGAATTGTCAACCCCGTGCGATTTAGGTAGCCCTTTGATGGAAGGCAGAGCAAGTAAATCCTTGAAACTCGTAAGCTGAGGGAGGGGATGATAGCATATGTTGAAGAAGCCCTCGTCATTATCGCTCACAGGTTGTTCCACCGATATCTCGTTCTTCTGAGTTAGTGCCTCACTGATCAACGAAGTTACTTGCGCTTCTGGTGTATATCTTGAGATTTTTTCCCAAACGGAACAATAGTATCTTCAAGCCGCAATCTCTTGCAAAGTTCATCTGATTGAACTAAAGGAGACATCGTTCCGTGTGCAATTTGACGGACCATGCGGGACTCAACAATGATTGTTAAAAAGAGTGCCTTTCTGGCTCGGGCGATTGTTCCCATAATATTCCATCGATATTATCACTCCCGGGGTCATCTGCGCTCTGGTTAGCAATTAGAGAAGGTACAGGTTGATCTGAGGTGACGAAGTCAGCAGCGGTGGGAACATACGCAACTAATGAAACAGGATGAGATACCCACCAAACAAAATAAGAGTTACTCCACCCATCCACAGCTGCCGTGTTCTCTCTTGTGAGATTGGTCTCAGGGTCTTCTAACTTGATACGAGGAACGAACTTCCCACTCGGTTCGGAAAATGCAGAAACGGCGTGCGATTGGCGCGCAGGTGATTCCAAGTTTCGGGGTCTTTCTGATAAACCCAGCGCCCGGACTGAGGCTGACGGTGGAGATGAATGAGGTACTCGACATCGCTTTCGAAGAGGATCACTGTCCCGCAGAAACAGAGGAGGGGTGATTGGGCGAGGCGCCATGGTGGGAGGTGAGTCTGGGTGGAAAAGGGAATCTCGGACGGCAAGCGGAATCGAGCCTCCAGGTATCCCAGTTCGGGTGATGTTTGGCAATGGGCTCTGAAACGGCTCCGTGTACCGAGTTTCTTCTGGGTCGTGATCAACTTCCCGACTCCTGACCATGAAGTGTTCGAGTTGAACGACGAATCCTTGGATCCAGAAGAAATGGTAACTAACAACTCTTCATCAAAGTGTCATCGTCCAGTATGGCAGCCACTCCGAGAGGCTTCAAGGAGCAAGCCTTCCTCATGTTCCGCACCATCTGCCTCGATACCAAAGGAGGAGATAGGGGCCTTCTATCATCAGTTTCACATTCTGGATAAGATGCCATTGATAACACCGCACCTGGATCACACTTTATTATTATACGCATGGACTCCAGTTTTGAACTCTGAAAAGGAGCCCTGCACTTTAGATGGTCGCGCAGATACCGTTGATCATCAGAATCCATAGTCCATTGCTCGACAGCAGGTGGCTGGATCTCCACCACGTTGCAAACACGAAATAGTCTAGTCATGGGTATCTCCGGAAGCCCGAAGACGCAAGTGGAAGGCATTGAGAGAGAAGCTAGAGGAAGTGGGAACTCATTAGACGCGTTGCCACGCCTCGGAGCACTCCCACCTCAGTGACATGGCCAATTAGAATGTGTTCATTCATGTACTTCTCCAGGACACCGTACAGATATTGCCGAATTTCGGTTTCATGATTGCTCTGCATTGTCGTTGTTGCGCTCAAGAGCTCAGATCAACCTCGGCTCGTTCCGCCGTTGAGTTTGAGGCGACCCGTGCTCTAAATTTTGGAAGTTGACTCCCAACGCCTTCCAGTTATCATACATGATATTCGATGGTTAGTGAATGGTGATCTTATAGTTCCAGGCAACTTATTTTTTCGGTGGTCCAGACCAAGCCTTGGAAGAATGGCGCCCGAACGCCCAAAGAATCTTCGATGCTTTTATCCTGGGTAGCTATAGCAATATAGGAGTCTCACCGTGGAATCGGGAGGTCAGTAAATCATTTGTCTCTGCCTTTATTGAACCCTACACCCACCAAGGCAAGTTAAGTATTTCATAAGCCGATATTCACAAAGTTGATGTCACGCTAGATTGGGAACCAATCCTCGGACAGCCAGAATTAAAAACAATTTTGGAGCATGTTCCTGGACATATCTTTGTGATTGAGATGTGTCGGATGATCAAAGCATGGATTGCTGAGAACACTGGTGAGCTGTAGGCACTAGTGCCTGTTGCTGCTCTGGAGATTGCCTGTACTGACCTGAACACTGTTGCAATAGATCAAAGGGAGATGAGTGATAAATCACCAGCAAAGTCGGTGCAGGTAACCGAGTCATTGGGGATGCCCTCATGTGTGGGTTTGACTGCATACCTAGAACCATTCAAAATTGCGGTCATCATTTGCCTATCGCAGACCACTAGTTTTGATGAGGATGCATTTCGTGATACTTTGATGTTAGATTTTGGTTGCTGCAACACAGAAGCTCACTTTCTTGCTAGTTTGGCAGCTGCTGGGCGCAGCACCTGATGAGTCCATCACTCTTGTAAAATACCTGCATTTTTATACCAACTAGTTGAACTGCCTTTGGCTGGTTGTGAAGCTGATAAGTGTCAGGGTCCATCCCTTGTCCAAGGGGACATAGTGAGGAGGTGTCACAACTGACAAATCCCAGGGCTCTGTCAGCGGCGAATCAATGCCGATAGGCGAATCTGCCGACCTGAAACCCAATCTAACCAGCCCTCAATCCGATGTCTGGCCCCACTGCCCTATTGCGTGAGACTTGGCCAACAATCAGACCCTGGACCCTGCTGGCATTCCAACCTTACCTCCAGTTCCCGAGCCCTTGGTGCTCCTGGCATCCAGTCCCTCTAGTTCCCCTTGCCTCATCTCCATCTGAACCACACCCATCCTCTGGTATGTGGTCACAGCCATGCACCGCATCCGGACCTTCCCCACATCCGGACCTCTGCCCACCTCTGCACCCCTGCACCTCTGCCGCTCCTTGTTAAAGAAATGGGTTAAGGGCAATCCATTTCTTTCCGTCCTTATAAACGACTTAGAATCGTCCACCTCATGTATGTAGGGCAGCCTAGTCGTGTAATTAGAATTGTCCGATGGCCATGGAGCTTTTGATAGAAAGCTGAGACCTCGCGGTGAATGGGAGTCTGATTCGACAGATACTTGGCGCTCGTTACGTGAGCGTACCGTGCATGGATGTATAGGATCACAGGTTGAGAGAATGTCCAGAGTGGGACTAGTTGAGGACTTAGGGCTAGCGGGTACTTGGCACTCGAGGGAGCGTACCGGTAGCGAGTGAAATAACGACTCCTTGAGGGAGCTTCCTGAGAATTGGTTGACGGGTACTTGGCACCCAATTGGGTGTACCGGCAACGAGTGATGTTCTAGCTCCTTGAGGGAGCTGCTAGAGGCTGGGTTGACGGATACTTGGCGCCCAGATGGGCGTACTGGCAACAAGGTATGAGACTGTTCATCTGGTGAACGGTCTGTATATGTGTCAATGGGTACTTGGCACTCGTATGAGCGTACCGGTGATGGAGGGGTTAGTCGATCGTAGGTCGAATGACATGTGGTGGGTTCGATGGCTACTTGGCACTTGCGAGAGCGTACCAGCGATGAGGGGAACGGGCTTGTATCGAATACCAATCCATCTGTAGAATTAACCAGATGCTCACCATAAGGTGAGACAGATGTGAGCCCAGTACCTGGGCAAACGATGTGAGTTGTAACAAAAGGTGTTCGTGCATACCTGAGTTGAGTCGTGCATGAACTCGATGATCTGTGGCTAGAGTCGTCAATCTCGGCAGGGATGACCCATATAGACAGTGACCGAGACATACACAATCTTACACAGACAATACAGTGTTGGCACAAGGAGGTTTACAGTTGTTGCACAGAAGAGGATGGTGTGTTATTTGTTAGGTTTTGTCTTTTTGGCTGTTGCTGTACATGAACGTGATGCTAACTATTGAATAAGAAATGATTGCGAGAAATCTCATGAAATAGAATAAATATTCTGGCCAGCACCAAAACCCGATAAGGGAAAGCTTAGCGTGGAGTGAACATGTAAGAAAGGGGGGAAGCGGGGAGAAGGTAACAAAGAGAAGGGAGGATATGGAGAAGGAGGGCCCGCTGTGGTGGACGTTCAGTCGACATGGTCGCGAGAGACTCCATTCCTATAACACTCCTGGTTGCCCTCCACACCCAGTGGTCAGGTCAACACTCCATACCTTTGCTGGCCATCATGCTGTCCTTGTTTGTGACAGCACTGACGGACCACCCTCTGTCTGCAGACTGATCAGCACCATGCTGATTCCTGTGCCCCATTTCGCAGACTTGTGTCAGTGCCGCATGCCGGCCCTGCTTTCCCTTTGGCCTTTTGCCACTCGGCATCATATCATTCATTCCTTGCCGAGTGCCTATTATGTTCACCCATTTCATTGCCAATATTGGCATTTGATCCGTGTGTTATTGCACCTTCCAATTCATTCATTTAATCTGTCAATATTGGTACTTGATCCACTTTGACTTTATTCATTCCTTGCCTCCCATTTCCTGGGTTCTTGTCCTTGGTTTAGTTTGACAAGTCCCTGCTCATTTCCGCACCGGACCGACCGGTCCTTCTTATGATTTCTTTTACCTACTTATACCTTGTAAATACTTTCGGGGACCTCAGTCTGAAATCAACTAGAGTACCCCCCCTGTCTGGTCTGAGTCCCTCCTTCTGTTCCCCCCTTCTGAGTCCGTGCTCGCGGAGTCCGTGCTCCTCCTATGGGCCCGCTCCGCCTGCAAGTCTTGTTTGAAGTCCGCTGTAATTGTGAGTCGTAAATAAGGGATCTCCCCCAGACGTCAAGCTCAGGGCACAGTGCTCCACTTGAGTCGCTGAGGCCGCGATCCCACTCTGCTAACCCTGAACAGCGCTTCCAGATGCTGTAGGCGGGATAATCGCCCACGTGCAGAGCTGGCTCGGATACCCACTTCCATGATTAGAAAACCACTTCTATTCACACGATGACTTGGTACGGATTTGATACCTAAAAATAGTGCTAATTTGTACGATTCCGACGGTATCAAAAACGTCCCAATCGGTGGAGAATTGATGGAGTTCTATGTTGGCAAGTTAGGCACGGCCATGTGCGGGCGTGGGAATCTCAAGCAGCAACCCAGAATTCCAGCCTCACTCATTCCCACCGCGTCTAATAAATTGGTAAAAATGCTTATTGGCTGCGTGAGAGTTATCTACGGCTTCATTTCCAATTTCGGCTCTTAATTCCATAAATCTGCTGAGAAATCGCTTATTTTCTTTTATTTTTATATTTCACCATCATTTCAGTTATTTCTCATCAATTATTTTAAAAATAATTGTTCCTTATATCCTGTACATACCGGATTCTGGAATAGAAGTTCTCCCCTCCCCCAATTTTCTCTAAGGTGCTAGGACACGCTAGAGTGGGTGTGAGTGAGTGGAATTCCAACAGTAGGAATAAGGGCAGCTGTCTAGCTCACAACAAGTGAGTAGTGGACGCTGAGCCCGGACCTTGCGGAAATCCCAGAGAACCCACTGCGGAGTTAAGGATCAAGCATAGCGAAGTTTAGTCAAGAAAGTAGGATTTTGGAGAGTTTGGCCCCATGAGCTTAGTCAGCATCGAGAGCCGCGAGCCCTCTTTCAACGCACCGCATATTTCCGCCCACATATCCGTGTGTGCATGCTCCAACAGACCTCTGCATCACCTCCAACCCCGACTCTGACAGAACCCAGCCCATCTCTGACAGGAGGTCTGGGAGTGGCACTGGAGAGTCTTCTCCAGCCACTAGTTCCTCAAAGTTGCTGAGGGGACTTGCCCTGGGCTTCACATGGAATGAGTTGAGAAGAAGGGTAACCTTCTCAACCCCCTGTGAGGCTGCTACAAAAGGAGCCTGAGAACTGTGCAGTTGTTGGGTCTTTCCTGAGTTTCCATATTAGGTACCATGGGAAGATTCTGGGTGAGCTGCTTGCCCAGAACATTCCCACGGGTTTGCATACTTGTACCATTGTGGAACAGTGG